AAGAAAAAGAAACTTTCTGGCGGAACTCTACAACTGCTAAGTTTTGTTAATAGGGACAAAAATTAAAAGGATATCCTCCGGAAGGACATCTAGCGTAAATCGCAGCTGTGCAAATCATGCAAAGTTTTATTGAAATACTTTGAGAGCCCGTTTGATTGTTAAAAAAAGAGGTATAATCATCGAATTAAACTCTGCACAATCATATACATTATTTGAATGCTTTTGCCAATTTTTCGGTATAAGTTATGTATTATTTTGTTCTAATTAGTATATGGAATAAGGTTATCAATATTGGTAATATACGAAGTAAAATAAAAATTGATAAAAAATGTCATCACCTTTAGATTTTATTTCTTTGAAAATGTCCAACACGAAAAAAAATAAAAAATAAAAAATAAAAAATCGGCTCATGAAGCTTAAGAATATACACCCCTGACATTTTAGACTTAACCGAATTATTTTTTGATTAAGAATATTCAAGAATACTACTACAACAACAACCGAGTAGAATCTCACAAGTGGGGTATGAGGAGGGTACAGTATACGCAAACCTTATCCATATCCAGGAGGAATAGAGAGGTTGTTTCCGGGAGACCCTCGGCCCAAAAAGGCAAACAAAGACAATAGATCCATACCAGCAGCCGCAACCAGAGAGATAATATCAACATCGTAAGAGATATAAAATATGTGGAAAGGCAATAACAAAAACAGGTACTAATTACATAGTACTATGAAAATAGAAAAATAATGTAAACACAACATAAGCCACTAGAAGTCCAAGATAAAACACTATCAGACTAGCCCCACCCCCGGTATAAAGTAGAAAAACGCTCGACTACCCCCTAACATTCAACCCTAATGCTTGACCTCCACACCTTGCTATCAAGAGCCATGTCCTCAGAGATCTGAAGTCGCGTCATGTCCTGCCTGATCACCTTGCCCAATACTTATTAGGCCGCCCTCTACCTCTTCTCATGCTTGCCAAAGCTAGCCGCTCACACCTCCTAACCGGGGCATGTAGGCTTCTCCTCTGCACGTGTCCAAACCATCTGAGCCTTGATTCCTTCATCTTGTCGTCCATAGGAGCCACACCCATCTTCTCCCAAATATCCTCATTCCTAATCTTATCCACCTAGTGTGACCGCACATCCATCTCAACATCCTCATTTCTGCTACTTCAATCTTCTGGATATGTGACTTCTTGACTGGCCAACACTCAGGCCTATACAACGTAGCTGATCTAACCACCGCTTTATAGAACTTACCTTTTTAAGTTTTGGTGGCACATTTTTGTCACATAAGACTCCAGATGCTAACCTCCATTTCATCCACCCTACCCCTACACGGTGCATGACATCCTCGTCGACCTCCTAATCCTCTTGGACAATTGACCCAAGATACTTAAAACTCCCTTTTTTGGGATGATTTGTGAGTCAAGCCTTACGTCCATGTCTGCTTCCCCTGATCACGTTGTGAACTTGCACTCCACGTAAGAATATTCAAGAATATTTTAAAAAAATTAAGAATATTCACAAGAAGAAGGAAAAAGCAATGTATTAATGCTTTTGTTGAGAGTCGGACTAAAAACCTTCCCGCTTTCTTAACGGGTGCTCTAACCAACTGAGCTACAAAATGTGTTTCAAAGAACTTCTTTAATCAAATCCTTTCCCCGAAGAAAACATTAAACGAATAACTTGTTTTAATAATTTTTAGTCTAACAAAATATGAATTTACAAACTACTGTAGTAAAATGTAGGTGCAGTTTGATATTTCACATACTTATCAACTTAAGGATAAGTAGCAGTTGAAATTATAACTACCAGTTTATCCTCGAAGAGCTCCTGAGCTTGGGACTTTTGTTAGTTTTGAGGTCCGAATGCGTTTGACAATGTCCTCCTCAGCTCTTCCTCTTCCTTTCTCTTCCTCAACTTTCTCCCAATCCCCAGCTTCTTTAACCTTAACCCATCACCCAAACTTCTCTTCTCTACTCCACAGCGACACTCTCACCGACGAACAACAATGCACTGTAAAAAACGAGTCCAAACCCAGAACAATTCGTTACCGTTTAGGTGAACTGTGTAGACAAGGCCAACCCCATCTCGCACGCCAACTGTTCGACACAATTCCTCAACCAAGTACTGTCCTATGGAACACAATTATCATTGGTTTTATCTGTAACAACATGTCCCATGAAGCCATTTCATTCTATTCCCGATTGAAACATGTGGGTTCATCGACATGTGATCAGTATACTTTTTCTTCTGTTCTCAAAGCTTGCGCTGAGACGAAACGGATTCTTGTAGGTAAAGCCGTGCACTGCCACATTCTTCGCTCGGGTATTCACCCTAGTAGGATTGTGTGTAATTCTTTGTTGAATATGTATTCCACTTGTCTCGGATTCGAAAATGGTTCTCGTTGTGATTTAGTTGAAAGGGTGTTTACAACTATGCGTAAAAGAAATGTTGTTGCTTGGAATACCATATTTTCGTGGTATGTTAAAAGGAAGAGGTTTTCGGAAGCAGTTAGGTGTTTTGTTATGATGATGAGAATAGGCATTAAGCCGACTGTATTTAGTTTTGTTAATGTTTTTCCTGCTGTCTCTGAAATAGGGGATGTTAGAGTCGCTGATGTTCTTTATGGTTCGCTTGTGAAATTGGGTAATGAATATGTAAATGACTTGTTTGTTGTTAGTGCTGCGATTGTTATGTATGCTGATCTTGGTTGCATTGATTTGGCGAGCAGAATATTTGAGAATAGTTGTGAAAGAAATACAGAGATTTGGAACTCTATGATTAGTGGGTACATTCAGAACAATTTTCCTTTTAAAGCACTTGATCTCTTTCTTGGAGCTGTAGAAGCAGAGGACGGTGTTCCTATTGATGATGTGACATTTGTATCCGCTCTTACAGCAACTTCACAGTTGCAGAATTTGGAGTTTGCTCAACAGCTACATGCATGTCTGATAAAGAAATGCATGGATTCACAGGTTATTTTGCTAAATGCTATGGTTGCCACATATTCTAGGTGTAACCGTGTTGGTGATTCCTTTAAAGTTTTTAGTGGAATGGAGGAAAGAGATATAGTATCGTGGAACACCATGATGTCTGCTTTGGTACAAAATGGACTTGATGATGAGGCTTTGATGCTAGTATATGAGATGCAAAAGCTGGGGGTTGCAATTGATGCTATAACAATTACTATTCTGCTTTCTGCGGCATCAAATCTCAGGGACAGGACAATCGGTAAACAGACCCATGCTTATCTTCTGAGGCACAATATTCAATTTGAAGGGATGGAGAGTTACCTGATAGACATGTATGCCAAATCTAGCATGATTAGAGAAGCACAAGCAATATTTCAGTCAAACTGCACAAATGATAAAGATCAGGCCACATGGAATGCTATGATTGCTGGAAACACTCAAAATGGATTAATTGAACAATCCTTTGTTGACTTCAAGGAGATGCTGGAGCAGAATGTGAAACCGAATGCTGTTACCTTAGCATCACTTCTCCCAGCATGCAGTCAGTCAGGAAGTATAGCAATAGGCAAGCAGCTACATTGTTTTGCAATTCGCAATTTGTTTGAGAACAATGTTTATGTTGTCTCGGCTTTGGTAGACATGTATTCAAAATCTGGCAGCATTCATTACGCTGAAAGCATTTTTCTAAAATCCCCTGAGAAGAACTATGTGACATACACAAATATGATTTTGGGATATGGCCAGCATGGGATGGGTAAAAAAGCTCTTGCGCTGTTCTACTCTTTGCAGGAGAATGGTTTAAAACCAGATGCTGTTACCTTTGTAGCAATCTTGTCTGCTTGCAGCTACACTGGATTGGTTGATGAAGGCCTTCAAATATTTGAGCTGATGGACGAAGAATACGGGATTCAGCCCTCAGCAGAGCACTATGCTTGTGTGGTTGACATGTTAGGAAGAGTTGGACGGTTGGATGAAGCTCATAATTTTGCTAAACAGTTGGGTGAAGAGGGTAATGTCTTGGGAATATGGGGATCACTCCTTGCTGCCTGCAGAGTCCATAGAAATTTTGAATTGGGGAAAATTGTTTCCAGTAAGCTGCTTGAATTAGAGGGGAGTGACAGAATATCTGGTTATCATGTTCTGCTTTCAAATATATATGCAGAAGAAGGAAACTGGCAGTCTGTCGATAACGTAAGAAGAGGAATGCGCAAAATGGGATTGTCAAAGGAGGTTGGATGTAGTTGGATTGGTACTTCTGGCTATCCAAGCTGTTTTGTGTCTAGAGATAGGAAGCATCCTCAGAGCGACATGATATATGATATGTTGGGTCATTTAACCATCAATATGAAGGATGTTGGTTATAAGCCTAACCTTGAACTTATAGAAGAGTGGATGTATGGGCTACAAGAATAAAAAGGTATTTTAGTTCATCCACTATGTACCTCTGTATTGATGACCTTTGGGGGCAGGATACTGTAGTTTATCAGCGACCAGCTTGGCCTTTGAGATTTGAGGTAATGAAGTTTTCTTTAGTTCTTTGTTTAGTTTTTTTTTTAATGATGGCTTTTACTTCACGGTACAAATTGTCAAAACTGGTAAATTCAGTTAGTGAAACGTTTATATGTTGCTTTACTAAGACAGATCAGTCAAGAAAATCCAATTACCATTTTGGAAGCAAAGAAGGAGTCCCTAATAGCAAAGAAAGGATCCAATCCAAGATTACAACTTCTGTCAAGCTATCTATTTGACTGAAGCACATTTAAATTAGGTGCCCAGTTAATTTCTTTTGCATAACCTATGCTTGTTTTGCAGTTGTGCTTTAGAATATTGTTAAGGTGGATAGTTTTTGATACAGAATGCTCTGAGTAGTGGATTAAGGGATCAAAGAGAGTTGTAATGTTGGAATCTGATCATCTTTGCAAGTTCATGGGTGTTATAACTACGGATCCAAATGGCTGTAATAACCGCTTGCTAAGGTTGGTCCAGATAACGATACTTTGTGAATATCAATGGAGTTGGCATAAATGGAGCTTTTAATTTGTGAAGCTGCAAAAAACTCTATAGATAAGAAAAATCTCTGAAAATACCTTTATTTGATGGTTGACTTAAGACATCGGCAAACAAAAGATTTCTATATTAGCTCCAGTTCTAGAATTAGTAAGGGGTTTTGTTGGCCAAATATGCTTATAGACTATCTCAATCAATGAGGTTACGAGTCCATATTATTTTTATTTGCCTTATTAGGTTCAACATGGTTGCCTACAAGCTGCTTGTGGCAACTTAAAGTTAATTATTCTTCTTCAGTTGCCAGAAGTGACAAAGGGCATCATCTCTTGAAGTCTTCTCCTTCCACGAAAGATAATTTCTGTGGAGATCAGTTGTACAGCAATGTGATTCACTAAAGCAAATGCATGAGTTGTTCTGCATATGTTGATCTTACTTGCTCATTTACAGGTTGAGGAAGGTCACACTAACTTCATTTTTGCTGCATGTCTGATGAGATATTGTTAATCAGACTAGCTAAATATGACACAATGGAAGTAAAAGATCCATATAGGTGATATCTACTAGTTGGGAATAGGTTTTGGACTTGCTACAGATCTTCTAATATTATTGTTATTATTAATACTGTTGTATATATATACACACATATATATAACTTATTTTTTGCTTTTATTTTATTTGGTATGATGATGACATGAGTTGAGCTTAAATGGAGAAGTGAGGATTCATATAGCCGACCCCAACTTGTTTGGTACTGAGGCGTAGTTGTTGTCTGATCATTTTTTTTAAATCTAGGGTGCTCTTGAGAGTTTGCTGGAAGAAAATACAGATGCTCAACTTGCAGATTGATCAACTGTTCCTTTGATGTGCTTTTCAGGTTAATTGTTGAGACATTTGAAGATGAGTTCTAATGGCATGCTGTGCTTAAGCTTCGCATTAAAAGATGATTGGAAGCGCTTTCAGGGTACCATGTTGAGTCTTATCCTGCGCATAAGAAGATTGTTGATCCATCTTGCTACTGCGCATCTGACGCTAATCTGGTGACGTAGGTGTGTTGGTTTATGTATGGTATGTTTGATGTTGCCAAATATAGGGACACTGGCGATTCATCAAGAGGAAAATTTTCATTTCTTACTAGATTTTCAGAAGAATGAAATGACGGGATTGTCCTGGTGAGGAATCTCACTAGGCAATAAATGACTGAAGAAGAGCCGATCAAATTGGTTGTTATAATTTTAAGCAGTAAATTTATTGTAAGGCCATTTGCTGGGATATTCAGTTATTTTCTGATGAATAAGCTTAGAAGAAGAAATTTACAGAAAAAGAATTCTTTGTACAATCCTATGCACAACAATTTGAAATATTGTCAAAACCTAGAGGCAATGTCTTTTCTTGAGCTGACACCGGGCACAAACAAGGCATTGCCAGCTGATGATAGAAGTTGTTCCCATAAAGGGCAGCTGTCAATGAAATATTTGCTCTGTAACTTGCTGACGGTGGAGTATCCATGATATTACTAGGACTGAGAAGGTGTCATACAAACCTTTTCCTCAATATTCTTTTATGTCAACCATTGAATTGTTGCAAGCATGAGCCCTACAAGTGGACCTTTCACCTCCTGTTTGCTATGGTACCAATAAGGTTTATTCATATTTTTCAAGTCCATGAATTTATTCTTTTGCTGATCAAGGGATAACATATTTTATTTAGTTGCAAGAGAACATGACATGTGGATTTGGAAGATGACATGGAGCGGAGTGTTGTTCAATCTATGACAACGTGAGCGCGAAGGCCTTCGTCGGGTTAGTCTTTTCATGTTGGTAGTATACTTTTCATAGTTTAATGTCTTGCTCATGTTTTGTCTCTTCCTTTTTTCGTTAGTCTTTGATGAGATCTATGATACTGTAAGCTTATGTGAGCTTGTATCTATCTGCTTACTGCTGGGCAATGCAGTAATAGTTTTTACTTTCAAGTCTTTCAGGTTCCTTTTGTATCTCGGGTTTGGTATTTGAATCGCAGCTCAGTGAGGATGATGATCCTATGGCTGTGGCAGAGGGGTCACTAGCACTGGTCAAGAGCAAGATTTCGATACTGTTTGTAGGGAGAGCCGGTTCACGAATTTTTTGGTGGAAGCAGATCTCCTGATGGACTTTCTGTGGAGGAACAAAATGATATCTGTTGGCGTACATTCATCTTGGTTCTTTTGAATGCTTGAGTACCACCTGATCGGTCTAATTGTCACCTTTGATCTTCACCCTTGCATTGTCTTGTTGTGCAATGCAACAACCTTTATTAACAAGAAACCACCAGATATCCCAGAAGTTCACCTTCCAGAGGAGCCAAAGCCTGCCTTGAGATCCCTTCTGCTCTGCGGATTGAATTAACCATGCTCTTACAGTGTTACGTGAAACTGCATCTGGGAGAGATCTGAAGAAGTTCCTGGCCGTCATTGCTGATCTATGGGTCTTCTCAGTTGTGAGCAATTGCTGCAACTTCTTGACACTGTTTTACATGTCAGTGCAATTTTTCTGTGATCTTATGTTTCTTTTGTATTTGCTATATCTTCTTAACTGATACACTTTTTCATGGTCTTCCTCCCAGTGAACCCGCATATGTAGTCATTCATACAGTTCCTTTTTTCAGAAGTATGACGATAAAGTGGATCCATTCGCTGAGAAAGCAGTGCAGGAAATCAAGAAAATATATGCTCTCTTTGATGCCAAGGTTTTGAGCAAAATTCCCAAAGGACCATTACAAGATAAGAAGAGGGCATAGATGTGTTCAGCGGGAGATTTAGATAGGTGTATTTTACGCATGAACCAGTGTGGCATCTTACTTGTCTGTTTTTGCAACTTTGTTGCCTTTTCCAGGGTCAACTTTGGATTAGAATGAAAGTTGTCAAGATTAGTGTATAGGCCTTGTATCATTGCATTGTTAGCTGAAGTTTCTCAACATATTAAGATAACAAAAGACACTATCTGCTTATGCTTGCCTGGGATACCAGAATGGTAAGATACCTTTCTGGGTAAATTTTGCTGGTCCACCTGCTAGAGCTCTTGGTTTTAACTCTGCATATATCAGTATAATGCAGAGCAGTAATGCCCTAATAAACTCCGCAGTTTTCTTCTGCTTCACGGTCCCTGTTGACCGTTATTTATTTGCAGCCCAAGCTTCATTTTTGCCGTTTCATTGGGTGGAACTTCTCAGTCTACTCATTTCTATTTTTTTCTTTTTTCTTTTCCTTCTTTCTAAGGTTTTGTTTGTTCTGAAAGTGATGTGCAGTGTCTACTGATATAAGTACCTTATTTGACAAAAAAGTTCATCAGGACAATGCTATACCATTTTGCTTGCTTAGGGTTCTCCTCCATTACATAGGTTTTTGCGACAAACAACTTGAAGTGATCGAAAGATTCCTGTTGCTGAATATTAGTATTAGAGATTAATTAGTCTCTAACCATTTTTCGTTTGTTAATAAAGGCAAATATATATACCACTTTTGTAACGGCAAGGACATAATTGACCCGGAGTATTAACAGAGGGTATATCTAGACCATTTTACATAGTTCAGGGTTAAGTATCACTTTGTCCCATTATTTAACACCTCTAACTAACCAAATGCTGCATTAGTTATGCGATTATCTTTTTCTTATATGATCAATGTGGATGATGATAGCTCTCTGTGTACCAGGATGAATGCTATAATAAAGAACACCGAAGAAATAATGGACAAAAGTAATGAGAAATGCAATAATAAAGAACACCGAAGAAATAATGGACACAATGTATAAAAGGAGATATAAAATGGTTGATTGAGAGACTATAAGTGAGAAGAAAGTTTGATTTCCAGAAGTTGGATGCTATGGTCATGATTCCCTTTTATAGTGGTCAGAAGTAGTTGGAGAAGAGGGTGGAACAGTGCCGGCTCAAGCCTAAAGCAAGTGCTTGTGGAACCCCTAATATATACCAAATATATTGAGGCAGCGGTGCGTCATAGTTGTTGAGGTTTGATTTAGCCTAGCTGGATGATGCGTAAGCCATTATTATTGATGAGTCGAGCTACAATGCAAGTTGGCTTAGGCTTGCTTAGTTGGCATTATGGATCATGTCGTGATAGCTAGTTAGACTTGCTCAGTTGGAATCGTGCGTACAAAGATGATGGAAGGAATTTGGCTACTACAATCATCTAAATGTTGCATTAGTTATACATGAGCAAACCCTTTCGGAATTGGTTAAGAATGGGCGGCACTATTCTTATTCTCTCTAATCAAACACTATGTTACTTTATGCTGAGTCTAAAAATTGATTATTTTTCCTAATTTCTCCCACCATGCTTGCAATGCTTGTGTTTTATTCCTTGCGTTTCAATGTTCAATATCTAGTATGATTTTGCGCGAAAATTAAAACAAAATTTGATATTTTATTGTCCATTAACATTGGTGGATTACATGTAGACATTTTTCCCCCTTACATAAGAAGGTAGAGGAAAAGTTGATAGAGAAGATTACAAGTGTAGCACTTCAATTGTTATAAGTATTATATGCTTATATTTTTTTTATTTATTAAAGGTGAAGATATTTTGTAGATATTCAACTTAAATAGATGGAATAGTTTGATAGTAGATTGTTGCAAAACGAGGAATTTTGTTTCTTGCAAAATATTATAAATAACATAAAAACCTAAAATATTGCTAACACTTTAATCTTTAAGCATTGAGTTTCAATCACATGGAGTATTTGTTTTCTCGATGTACTCGAACTACAAAAAATATTGGCCACCAATAGTAGCTACATAATCTATCTATATATTATATTAAAAACATAAACTATTTAGTTAAAAGTTAAATTACTTAAATGCCCCTTTAAATAATTATACAATCCTAATTTATTTATAACAAAAATAATGCCTACAAGAAGACGTTTCATGCTTTATTAAGAGACACAACTTACAATCATTTTGCGAGGGAAAAGACACATTGAATAACTCACTCCAAAAGATATTATTGTTGATAAACTGATATGTACCAATCATTGCCGAAATATGACAATATCCAAAGGTGGATCAAATACCAACATTACCTATTTAACCGAACAAGTTGTATTTGACTCGATCGAGATATCTCTATATGTGCAAAAACACTTTAATACGTATATATACCTTGAAATTGCACTTACTTACCGTTGATCCGAATTTCACATTTACATTACCTCTCTTCAATTTTTTACATTCACACTTTGCTCCACTATATATTATTATGTTCGTCAACAATCCGTTCGCAGCATTGGACGCAAATCAATAGATAACCAAAACTTAATCCGTTTGATACCTTTGGGTTTGCTTTTAGGAATTATAGTTGAAAGGTGATGACTATTTTTCGGATTAGTTTCTTCATCTATCATGCTGCTATAAACTCATTTTTCTTCTATATCGAAAAATTTGATTGGCAATGGATGTGGATTACGCGTGAATCTACTATATCCAATCCTGCAAATGACTTAAGGTAATTGATCTAATCTAATCAAAACTATCTTCAACTTTATATACTACTTAGTTATCCATTATATTTAATTTTCATTTTGAATTCAGCCACAGAATCAACAAACAATACCTTACTTCTTCAATTAAAAATTTGGTGACAAGTACCGGCTTCTTCTAGAATTCGAAAAGGTACTGCCAATATTCTTTTGTTCCTTTCTAATTTAATTTATTTATTTTAGATTTGGCATATTAAGATGAATGAAGGAGAAGCATTGTTCAATACTGTAGTATTTTGGAATTCTAAGACAGCAATTCGGAACTTAATGCTAATCAAGTTGGTGTTGAGTAATCATAGAGAATTAATTTTTCTTTTGTCAAAATTGATAAGAAAAGTGCAATGAGTTTACTCGACTGATTCATTCACTTGACATTTGAGTATAAATTACTAAAACTTAAAATTATATAGGAAGAACTTTAATTGCTAAAATAATATGAACTTGAAGATGTTGATGCTACTGTATACGGTCGAAATAGATTTCGGCCTTCTTATGTTCGATCGAGTTCAAGTGTTAAAAAGTCGGAATGAGATTTTGGGAGTGAGCTCCGAAGTCAGTACTAACGAGTCTCGAGTCCGAAGGTCGCTCGAGGAGTCGGCTCGGTAACCTTATCGAGCCCGTGACCGAATCGANACTATAAAAGAGGGAATCCTTGTAAGCTATGGCGGAAAAAAAAAGAAAAATACACTCTAACCAAAAATCACTTCTCATATTGAAAGATATCCCTTTGTGCTTGTTTTACTTTATCTTATTCATTCTTGTTGCTCACTATTTGCATTCTCATAGTCAAGAATACACATATCTCTATTTCTCTACACGATTTATATCGAATTGTATCGCACATCCTTAGAACCATACACAAATCTAACGTTATCCGATTTTTTCGGTAAACAGTTTGGCGCCCACCGTGAGGCTAAGGATAACAGTGATTGTTTGATATAAATCTACAGTACACACCAGCTTACAACTTCAAATCAGCAATGGCTTTACCTATCAACCACGAAGCCGACCTCCAAGATGAAACCAACAACTTGGCACCCGGGGCCGGAAGGCCACTTGACGATGGCACTGAGGCTCGAATCGAAGTACCCGAAATTCGAGCCGAAGCACCATTGGATGTCATTTCACAAATAGCTCTGGAGGCGAATCAACATTCCGAACCGGAAAGAAGCATTCAAGGCGGTACTCGATCCGTAGCCCGAGATACCCATAATGCGGGAAAAATCAGGGCCAGCTTATATATGATCTTCAAGATGCTACAAGCCCAACAAGTAGCGATATCTCAGTTACAGAACCAAACTCATATATAAAATAGACCGGATTCCAATCCGCTTCGAGAAATCACCCCCAGAACGGAGCCCGCCATAGTGAAATTAAACGAGCAAGAATCGGGGACAACTCCCGAAATTACTAAATTGCTCGAGGAACTCACAAAATGAGTCGAAGCCAACGACAAGAGAGTGGAAACATACAATGCCAGGGTCGATCAAATTCCGGGGGTTCCACCAATGAGAAAAAGGCTTGATTCGAAAAAATTTATACAAAAGCCTTTTCCCTCGAGTGCGGCCCCAAAACCAATCCCCAAAAAATTTCCGTATGCTCGAAATTCCCAATTATAACGGTACGACCGATCCTAACGAACATGTCACCTCTTACACATGTGCCATTAAAGGTAAAGATTTGGAGGACGATGAGATCGAATCTGTGTTGTTGAAAAAGTTTGGGGAGACTCTCTCGAAGGGAGCAATGATCTGGTATCACAATTTACCACCAAAGTCCATCAATTCTTTTGCCATGTTAGCAGATTCGTTCGTAAAGGCACATGCTGGTGCCATAAAGGTTGCAACAAGGAAATCAGACCTCTTCAAAGTAAAGCAAAGGGGTAATAAAATGCTAAGGGAATTCGTATCCCGATTTCAAATATAACGCATGGAATTGCCACCGGTCACAGACGATTGGGCCGTACAAGCTTTCACCCAAGGGTTGAACAAGCTAAGTTCGACAACATCACGTCGGCTGTAACAAAATTTGATCGAGTATCCAGCAATAACTTGGGTAGATATACACAACCGATACCAATCGAAAAGCAGGGTCGAGGATGATCAGTTGGGAGCTCCGTATGGACCCGTGCATCAGAACAGGACAGCTACTAAAAACCAAAGGGAGATCGACAGAGAACGAAGGTCGAACAGAGACCGATATCAACCGTACGTCGCAGATCGGGTGAACAACGGTTCAGCATGCAATACAGTTCGGAACAATCGAAGGATTGATCGAGGGCAAAATTCTCGGGGACTTATGAGCAAGAGCGACTTTGATAAATATGCCGATCCTATAGAAGCACCTCGATTATCAGAATATAACTTCAGCGTTGGTGCATCCGCCATCGTGTCAGCTATCGGACGCATCAAAGACACTAAATGGCCTCGACCCATGCAGACCGATCCTGCCCAA